CAGCAACGAAATCAGAAAAAGAAAAAAGATGATGACGATGAAGAAATTGGAGGGCCAAAGGAAGAGCTTATTCCTGATAAATTGGCAAAGGTACAAAATTATAGTATATTAAATGACCACACATTTCTATAGAGCCCTATTTAAATCTCATGTTAAAAACTAATAATGGATTATTCACCGATGTCTGTTAAATATGAAAGTGTGTCATTGCCATCATTTACATCAGCAGTCCCCGGTCATCAGACCAGTACCGGTGTGTGCCCCTTTGGGAACTGCCGCTTGCCACCATTGCTGGTCTGCGGAGCCAGAAAGATTGGGGACCTCTGATTTACATCATATATATAATGGCTTCATTGTGCAAATGTCATGAGGCAAATGCTGTAACTCACTATAGAAATTTGTTTTGTTGTATCCATATCTGCTAAATTAAAGTTTCATTATTGAAAATATTACTTTGCAATATATATCATTTTAAGAGTGACTATTCAATAAACTTTTGAATGGCCACTCAGCTAGAGTTAATAATTCCAGTATACATCTTGACACATGCTTTTGCAACAAGGCATATCAGAGCTCTTGTAGAATCTGATATAGTTTTTATTTATTTATTTATTTATTTATTAATCGCATTTATACCCCGCCCTTCTCCTAGTGGACTCAGGGCAGCTTACAGCCAGTTTAAAACAGAATAACAATACAATATACAAATTTAAAATGTGGTTAAAATAAAATATTAATATAGGCCTTTCTTTTATTTTAAAATTATTTAAAAACCAAATTTAAAATACCCCTTAGGCCAGTCCTGCCAGCTGAAATAACCATGTCTTGAGGGCACGGCGGAAGGAGGGGAGATCCGGAATCACCCGGATCTCTGGGGGTAGTTCGTTCCAGAGGGTGGGTGCTCCAACAGAGAAGGCTCTCCCCCTGGGGGTCGCCAACCGACACTGTCTGGTTGACGGCACCCTGAGGAGACCCTCTCTGTGGGAGCGTATCGGCCGGTGAGAGGTAATCTGTGGCAGAAGGCGGTCTCGGA